CAAAGACTCATATCCATCTCATTATGCAAAATGTGTTTAGTCCATCTCCCAGGCTTTGCTGAAAAGGGTGAGTCCAAAGTCTAAGACTCAAGGCAAACTCCAAGCTCTGTAAAAATTAAAAGCAAAGTTAAATATTTTCAATATACAATGTCACATGCTCCCATTCCAGAAGGGAGAAATAGAGGAACAGAAAGGATTAGGACCAAAGCAAAACGAGAATCCTGCAGGGCACAGATTCAATCTTGTACCTCTGTGCCCAAGGGCGGTTGTTGTGAGATATGACCTGTGAAGGACTTGGGCAGTCCCACCCCACATCACTGATGCTTGAAGCACACACAGCCTCTCTCTTGGCTGGCACTGTCTGCAGCTGTCCTTGGCAGATTCCGTGTCCTTGCCGTTTCTAATGTCCTGGGGTCTCCACTGTACCTTGAGCTTCAGTCTCAGAGTCATGCGTCACCCTCTCGGACGCAGAGTCTGACGTCCCAGGTCGGCCTTTGAATCTGGACGGAAGCCTCTGTGGCACACAGCCTTTGAATCCTACCTGGGGGAAAAAACAAAAACAGCATCGCCTAGAAGATGCCTGCATCCACCACAAGCGTGGGCAGTGGCAGGCAGAGCTGGATCATGGCTGCGGAGGTACGTAAGGTCCCGGCAGCCGAGCATGATGGCGTGAGTCTTGGAGAGCCAGCCTCTTTGAGCAAAGAGCCACGGGGCTCCCTTCTCGCGTGAAAGAGCCACGGGGCTCCCTTCTCGCATGAAATGTTTGTGCTTTTGCACCACTGAGGCTGAGGTTGGTGGAGCCTTGCTGAAATTCCTGAGGCATTCCCCCAGGGCCTTTTTCTTCCTTTCCCTGTACCAACTAATTGGTTCCTTTTTATAAATTCACATGTTGATTCCTCTGAATTAAATTCATAAAATTCTTCAGCAGCCAAACTTCTTTTGGCCCCAGTTTTATACGTGATTCAGTTGAATTTTTCTGCTCTGCTTCACCCCTAGCCATCACAATAAACCTGGCTAAAATCAACTAGCCATGCCACACCCTGGATGTCGGGCTATCTTGAAATTTATTCCACTGGGTTAATTAGTCCAATGCCCTTAATATAAATCTCTTGAAAAGTCTCAGAACATGGGGAAAATGTAGACTTTTTTTGGCCAGAGTGTAACACACATAGCCCCTTGTTCAACTGCCAATGGAGTCCTTGTTCCCATCTGAAACCTTCTGAGCCTTTACTGTTCACATTCCTTTCAGCATTCTTTTTTATTATTTCTCAAAGAGAATACAAAGTAATGATAATAATAATAATAATAATGAATATTAGAAACTATAGAATTTACTAATCAAAATGATACCAATTCAACATTATCCTTTCCATATCCTTGTCTTCTGAACTCTAATCAGAATCACCCAGGAGGTTCTACTCACTGCATGATAAGCCTTCTCTATCTCGCATCTCCAAGCCTTTGCAAACTCTACCTGCAAACCAGCTCCAAAGGCTCCTAAACCCCATGGTCAAATACAGTCACGGCCGCAGCACCGCTTCTCTAGTTCAAACTTTCTGTGGTAGTTAGCCTTCCCATTTCTGAGACAAAGCACCTGACACCCACTACTTAAAGTGAGGATTGATTTGGTTCAGAGTGTTGGGGAAGCTCAATCCGTGGTAAGTGGGCTTCTGTGTGCAACTTCCATGAGAGAAAGCATTAAAGAAAAAGCTGCTCACCTGGCAGCAGCCAGAAAGCAGAGAGAGGAGGGAGGAGCCGGGGGCAGAGATGCACACTCCGGCCACTCTGCCAGTGAACTGCCCCCCCAACCAGATGTACCCCCAAACATGAGGTTTTTGGGTGGGACCATATATCCAAACCACGACAGGTGCTAATAACCTCGATCTCCTTAACCTATGCTCCTTTAACCAGACCTGTCCTGAGCCTGGCCGTTACTGTCCACACTCCTTTTCAGCATTCCACTGATTTCTTTCTCTCCTAGAGTGCAACACTGCAAGGTTCAGCCAAAGACTGTTGGGTTTGCCAGGGCCGCTGCTTTTCAGCAAGCCTGTAGTTCAATGTTTAGCTCCCATACCCTTGAGACTACCAAAAGAACTGGGCAACTTTCCAGCCTGTTCTGAGCCAACTTCGGAATCAAAAGTGCCTTAAAGAAGAGAGTGCTCAGGTGTTGGATTCACTTTCCCACTGCTACCACAAATATTTGCAGATGGTGGTTCTCTAGAGCGTAAGACGGACTTGTTTTTGTTCTATTGCCCATGTTTTGTTTTGGTCCAGGGTTTCTAGTTTTCCTCCACAAATGGATCGATTTAGAGCAACATAGTCCTCCTTTGCTAAAGACAGAACTTTCTGGATTCATTTTAATTCCCAGTGCCTATGGAGAAATGCTATTGATAATTAAATTCATAAAACTTGTATTTACAAACAACTCTTTACATGAATTAGAGTCTATCTGTACAAAAATGCTTTTTCCTGGGGCTTCAAAACACACAAGTTCTCTACTGTCTTCCCTGGAAGACACTTTGTGGGAGTGTGCTGGATGAACAAGTAGGCATCCTACTGGGTGATCCCTGGCTACATCTTTGTCTTGGTTACTTTTCACTAGGTGCTGGGACAAAATACACAACACCCAAAATGAAGGAAGGAAATGTGTATTTAGCTCACAGTCAGCAGAGGTCTCAGTCCATGCGTGGCTGGCTCCAAGGCAGGGCGGCACATAGAAGAGGGTGGCAGTGAGTGGTGGTGGAGAACAGCAGGTGCAAAGGGAATCAGCAGCCACGGCACCCAGCGGGCCTCTCTTCCTCCCGAGCTGACTGTCCCAGGGCTACAGAGGGCCATGTGGGGCAGTGCCCTCACAGCAGAGCAGGCACCAGTGAGCACCCACTCTCAAATGGCAAGTGGGCACCTCAGACCAGGCACCCAGGAGAGGCAGAGCCTGAGTCAGGCAGGTGGAGAAGACAGCATGGAGCAGGGTGCGCAGGATCCTGGGTGGGTGTGGCAAGGACGGTCAGCTCCTGCAAAGGGGAATGGATGCCCTGTGGGGCCTGCAGGCCTCATGTGCACAGAAAGCCCAGGAGGCAGGTAGAAGCTCTGAGCAAGGGAAGCTGCCGTTTCACTCCTGTTCCGTCCCCAGGCTGGAGCTCAGCGCAGCAGAGTGACTTCCTCTGTCTCAGTTGCTCTTCTCTCATTGCTGGGACAAAATGCCCAACACCCAAAATGAAGGTAGGAAAGGTTTATTTAGCTCGCAGTGCCTGGAGGTTTCAGTCCATACTCAGCTGGCTCATCTCCAAGGCAGATGACACATGGCAGAGAGCAGCAGTTCATGGTGGAAACAAAGCAAAAGTAGTGGTGGCAACAGTGGCAGCAGAGAGCAAGCCTGTCTCCCTTGAGTTGCATCCAGGGTATCTGTCCCAGGCTGGGTGTGGCACTCACGCCCATACCCAGCAGCACTCACGCCCATACCCAGCAGCACTCA